CACACACACACACACACACACACACACACACACACACACACACACACACACACACACACAAAATCAAGACGAAAAAACTGACCATGTGGCAGTCTTATGACTCACCCAAACATAAGTCATTTTTACATTGCTGTGTTTTACTATTTGAAATCTGCTTTCTTTAGGAAACTGAGAAAAAAAAGCCAGAGGCGTAAACCGTCTGGAACTTTCCAACTCCTTCCCCCACTTTTGTTTTACTCCTTTCTCTCCTCCGACTTTACAACGTATTTAACTGTTCTTTCTCAACTCCAGCCCATACCTGCACTCTGAGAGGAAAACAACACAATGAAAATGTAAAGCGCCACATAAATCTATCAAGATGGTAATTTAATTTAATTTCCTGCTGGCTGCTTTCTTTTTCTACAGTATAATATCAGGAGTTTGTTCTCCGAGAGGAGAGGGAAAAGGCTGAGAGGGGGAGAACTTTTTGCCTGGATAGTCTTTTTCCAGAGAAAATGAGATCTCATTAACTTATTGATTAATTGTGTAATGTAGTCTTTTGGTTGTTGTTTTTTTTTCTTTCTCTTCTCTCATTTCTCATGTGGGTCTCGGGGCAGCGTTCCAGCCTCACTTCCTCAGTGCTGGGGAAGAGGGCGATACTGTTACCAAAACCTGTAGTACAAAAAGATTTTCAGCTGGATTTCAGGCAGGATTTTAGTAATGACTCAATTTTTAGTCAGCATCCAAAATTTTCAAAAGAGTTTGGTGACAGGGACCCTAAAAAACTCATTGCAAAGTTTGAAATACAACATGAACAGGTTATCCTGTACTACATCAAAGGGTGCAGTATGAAAAGGTTTACTTGGGTAGATTTCTAGATAAATTGATATGTAATTCTGAAATCTGGGGCAAAACTCCACCTAAATGAAGCACTTGGCTGAATCCCCTGAAAACCAAGTGAAAGCTTGAGACACTTGATTACCCTGCATTCAGCTGCCTGTTGTCTGTGTAGGTAAACAAATACTTGGAAGTCAGACATGCGTGAAATCTAAAAAAAAAAGAGGTGGGGATAACAATGAATCTGCTGCTAAACACACACAAAAAAAGAAACATCAAGTAAAACAACTGTCTAGTGTAAATATTAATAATATTATCAAGCAGTGTGGAGGAGCAACATAAAAACAGACTTCAACATTCGAACATAGATGGCCTTTGTGAAACTTCTTCTACAYGGCTTAGTTCATCATTTTAACTTAAAGGGGCAACATTATGTGTTTCTCAAGTATATATTTAAATTCTATACCATAATAAAGTATCTATGTCACCTTTAGTTGTTATTAAAATGTTGTTTGTATGTTTAAATAGAAAATAAACTTGACTTCTCATCATATCTTTTTCTAAACACCTTGAAATTGGCATCTGTCTTTTTAAGAACCTCCTTCCACTTCTGTCACGCCTATTTCAACACGTCATCACAGCCGATAGACTGCAGGAGTCACAGGCAGGGGTGGGAGTGGGGTAGGGTGGGGGGTGTCACGCTATGATACGGGAGCTCAGAGTGGTTTACTTGGCATCTGAAAATACATTAACTCAAAGGTATTTTGAACTTGAAAATGGCAGCACTAAGGAGGAGCATTGGGAGCTCAGCAGATAGTTTCAGTTTCACCAGTTGTTTGCTTTGTTGCTGCCGAGAGTCTGCAGGAGTCACAGGCGGGGTGTGGGGGTTGGGGGTGGGAAGGTGTTCTCTGTGATGAGGAAGTTCAGCTTGGAGACACAGTCCAGAGGAGGAGCTGATCCCAAAAAGACGTTCTAGTCCCAACCAGTCATTTTTGCTCCCCTGCCTGGCTGCCTCAGGACACCACAGGATTTCTCAAACATGCATGAATGAGTCAAAGCAAGACTCGAGGCACGTTTTTGATGAGAGGATAACATTATAACATGACATAAAACTCAAAAAAGTTGATTTTACATGATATAGCCCCTTTAATCTAGATTTTTACCTGCAAACATTACTCAAAAAACCGGAGCATAATAGTACTAATGCATCAAAATGGTCTGAATTCTTGATCCCAAGAGGCTCCTCCATGGAGGTCACCATAGTCGGCAAATTTTCAGTAACTTAAGCTGTTTCCTTAGGTAAATTAATACACATTGTTTTCTGGGGCCTCATGTATAAACGGTGCGTACGCACAAAAAAAGTTATGTGCGCCAGGTTCTACGCCCACGTTGGGATGTATCAAAACCAACGTTGCGTGAAAGTGTGCGTAAATAAACGCACACTTTTCACCTGCCGTGAGAATGTGCGGCAGGTGAAGWATGTCAACCCCTTTGGACGTTTACCTGT